ACGATCACTGCTAAAGGTATCATCTTTCGCAAAGGCTAGCCAATAAACGAACCCGTTGATGACATGTTCCAGAATATTGTGTGCAACTCAACAACAAGTATCTCCATGATCCTACTACACTTGTCTCTTCTAGCTTAAGGGTTAAGATATTGAAAGACAAAAGTTCTTCATAATCAGCCTCGAGGTTCCAATCATCAGAATTGTCCACTCTCCCCTCGAATGATACTACAATTTTGTACTCATTAGTTGAAGAGACATAGCCTAAACAAGCTTTACCAGCAAAATCGGAAAGAACGGGCAAAGCTAGAGTCTTTTTGGTAACGGGATTGCAAATCCATATTTTCCCTTCATAGCCAGTTTGGCAAAAACATAACAAGTCTAGCCCAGAAAGGCACACAAAATTGCCCTCTCTAATTTCTGCAACAGCTTCATATTCATGAACATGATTGTAGGAGTCTATTGAAGAAAGATGAATGAATTGGGACCTGAACGAACGATTTCTTGAAGAGCTGATAAGAGACAGAGTTGGCCTTTTCTTCGATTGATCATACTGTTGTTTCTTGAAATAGGGACTGGGTTTGAAGTCATTCTTTTGAGAGGCACTTGAGCTGACAAAGTTGTTTGACACCCAATCTTGAGAATATGTGGATCAAGATATCTCTCGAAAAATGATCAGCCATGACTTTATTGACTTATGTTCTTCTTCATAACTCATGTGAGAAGAGTTCGATCATTCTTTTGGACTTGGAGATTGAAGGGAATTCTCTCAGCTCCCTAATCAACCTTTTTTCCGTAACAGAATTGTAAGAATATAAGTCAGTAATAGAAACAATAATTGTACTTGTTAACAACAGCGGGAGTTTATAGAGCAATCACCATGAAGAGAAAATTGCCCAAGTCAAGTGATTCACTATAAAACAAAGTTAGTATCCACAAACAATAAATGTCTTTTTGAATGTCAATATGAAAAAACCTGAGACTTTTTTTTTCATAAATGATCAATTTATGAAGTTGACTTTAAACGGAGAATATGACAGATAACCAGTTGAGTGGCAAAAAAGTCCGCAAGTAGCTTACATCATATGATTAAATCTATATAGTTTCTTACATGTGTTTGTTTGATTGGTAAAAGATCAATTTGTTTCCAAGAAGAACATACAAGTCCATTTGAAATTGAACATAGGAAGCAACATCAATAATATTAAATGACAATTTACGCCTTTCATTTCAAATTTTAGTTCATGTTTGAAAAATGGTAACATACCTAAAATCTCTATTCATTGTGAATGAAAGTACTACAAACACAGTTACACTATCAAGATAGAATTGGAATCGTCACCTAACACGTTAACTAGGTTCCTTAGGACACCTGAAACTAATTTGTATGCTAAACCACATAACGTCTAGAAAACCTAAAGAGATGTTATTCTCATAAAAATGAGAATTCACCTGAAACTAATTTGTATGCTAAACCACATAACGTCTAGAAAACTAAAGAGACGTTATTCCCATAAAAATGAGTATTAGTTTCACATATGAACGTGATTCACAAAACAGTAAAGTCAAGAAACCAACCTTTTTTTAAATCAGATTAAAGTAACTAAACTTTATCATCCATTATTACAGAAAGTTTAAATTGACAACATTAAACACAAATCACAACAGAAAATGAAACCCTTTCCAGTAAATTCAACATATAATTGGCAATATTTCTAAAAATGTTTTTTCTCTCTGTCAGTCAATTTTCCTATTTCTTTGAAATTTCATCTGCACCTGCATTGATTTACTATCCATCTATAGCACTTTATCTATTTATAGAGATTTTTAATGGGAATAGGTCCATACTATCATGAATGCAAAAGCATTACCTCACATAATGCCATAGAGAAAATGAGGAAAGAATGATATAATAGTAATTTGGTATTTTGATTTCCTTTTCGTACGTAAATAAATAGCCTGTAACATTGTAGTTAGTGCACTTGAATACTACTAGCAAAGAGGGAAAATGGTACGAAAATTGTTTAGGTCATTTTCAGGACAAGTAGTTGTAGAAGAAAGCAGAAGGGTAGTTGACTAGTTTTTCACCCATTTTCCTAGTCACAAAGTACAGTTATATTGTAAGTAACTTCACAAATTATCACCTTGAACAACTCCAATTTACCTGCAAACCACTTGTTCTATGTTTTATCATTAATATTAGTTACTGCTCCTCACACAAGAAACCAAGAATCAACATGGAAACCAGCTCAAAAATCACACAGAAATGGATGTTATGTGCATTCGGGAGCTTCATTAGCTGCTTCATTTTCTTGCTATACTTGAAGCACAACAATGAGGCAGTAAATTTCAGGGCTCTGCGACATGCCATGTTGAATGTGGCCTCGTCTTTAGATGATAGCTTTTCGACTCATGGAAATTTTGAGATCTCGAAACCAGCAAGAAGAGGAAAAGATGAAGGGGATATAATACATAAAAACAGAAGGAACAAGTGCAACATATTTGAGGGAAGATGGATTTATGAATCAACGGAAAGCCCATATTATGAAGCATCACAATGTCCGTTCTTGAGTGAACAAGTGAGCTGCCAGAAGAATGGAAGGCCTGATTTTGACTATGAAAATTGGTCTTGGGAAGCTCATGATTGTGTGATCCCAAGGTAGGAAAATGGTTTGTTCATTTTCTTGTTTCACTCTTTTCTTTATTTTGGATTTAATTGACAAGTGTGAAGGATTTTACATGATCACTGTATAAAAAGTTAAATTCTTTCTCTTTTGTTATGAACAAATATCAGCTTCAATGGCAGAGATATGTTGAGGAGGCTTAGAGGCAAGAGGGTCATCATAGTTGGAGATTCACTAAACAGGAACCAGTGGGAATCTCTCGCGTGTCTTCTTTATTCTACAATTCCTCCTTCAAGAACCCATCTTGATTTTAGCAGTGGCTACTATAAAGTCTTCAAAGCTAAGGTAAATCAACTCAGGGACTTATTTTTCTAATGCAAGTACCTCACAGGCACCGGCGCCCCTGATGCAATAATGCATGGCAAAACGACACTGGTGCAATAATGCACAGTCACATGCACACGTCCGCTGCATCTGGAACACCATGAATTTTATTTTTGTGCACTTCTCAGACATATCTGATGTTATAATACATGTGATTTGAAATCACTCTTTGTTTTGAACGTTCATACTCATATAAAGTCAATTTTCTACTTCTCTAGGACTACAATGTTACTGTAGAGTTCTATTGGAACCCGTTTCTTGTCCAGTTCGACTCAATGAATGCTCCTAAAATTTTAAGGCTGGAGAAACTGGATTTGTCGTCTCAGCATTGGCAAGGAGCTGACATTATGGTATTCAACACAGGACATTGGTGGGTGCATCGTGGGAAGTTCAAGGCGTAAGTTCACTAATGAACTTTCTTAAAAGCTAATGAATATAACATCTCAATGCTGACAAAGAATTTTCAAACTATCAGATGAATATAGGCACTGTCTGTAAAAAGTGAGATTAGTAAACTAACCGAAAAAATGAGACATGTTACTTGGTGCAACATGTTAAAATAAATAGACTTTGCATGCAGGTGGGACTTATTCGAGTACAAGGGACGATTAGTTAATGAACTGAAGCTAGAATCAGCATTTGAGGTGGCAATGAGAACCTGGGCAAATTGGATAGATCAGAATGTTAACTTGACAAAAACAACAGTTTTCTTCAGAAGCATTTCCCCAGAACACAAAAGTCAAAACGGATGCTACAATAAAACACAACCAATCACAGATCTGTCATATGTAACAGATTTTTCCGAGACCCTGACGAAGATTGTTGATCGAACATTGTCAAAAATGAGAGTCCCTGTAAGATACTTAAACATCACTAAGCTCTCACAGCACCGCGTAGATGCACATCCATCAGTCTATGCCAAAAAGAAAGGACAAGAACTGATAAAGAGGAAACTAAAGCCACCACAGAGTATTTCTGATTGCAGCCATTGGTGCCTGCCTGGAATGCCCGATACATGGAATCGGTTACTATATGCATCACTGCTTTTGGATCACCCCATTGATTCCCCTAGTCTATCACATTGGTCTCTTGAAAATCAGAGACGTATCATCAGTAGGCTATATTAGTTGTTGTATTAGCGTGGGTAGTGATGGCAATTTCAACCCATATTTGCTTAACCCACCCATCATTAACCCATTTTCAACCCGCAATATAATGGGTCAAATGTGATTTTATATTTCTATTGGATTCTTCCTGCTAGCCTAAGCGAGATATCTTCTGAGGGAACTTTTGAACATTCATATGAAAGTCTAACTGTGTGTGATGATTGTTTCCTTTCTTTTCACATTGACCTCACAAAGCATTTATGTAGGACAAATATTTTTACTTGTATATGTTGTTCCAATTAAGTCCATAAATTTTACATAGCTCACATTAACATCTTTTGATGATATTAAGAATACTCTATCCGTTTTAATTTGTTGGTCTTACTATCTTTTTTAGTCCGTTTCAAAAAGAATGTCAGTTCCCTTTTTTAGCAACTCTCTAATTTCAACTTATATTTGGTATATTCTACACATCTTTAGTATAAGACCACAAGATTCAACAGTCTTCTTTTATTTTATTAAACTCCGTGTCAAGTCAAAATCAAATTGAACAGAACTACAGAAGGAGTGGTATTATGAAAATGTTTCTTCTTTGTATCCGTTAGTTATACTGTGCAGTGCAATTACTTGGTGAAATCTGCTTGATTTACGATAAGGATTTCAGGATTAACCAAATTTATGGAAATCAATTCTTGCAACTACTGCTTTAGTTAGGTCATCTTTGGAAAGCTCATGTGAATACCACATGAGCTATTGTAAAAGTTGCACTTTACAGGGTGCAACAATACCCTCCAGCAATTAAGCAGTTATTACTACTGATGTAAGCACACAAACATTAAATATAAAATGCAAAACAAATCGAGACAGATAGTAGAAGAACTACAGTACCTTGACATACCAAAAACCAATCAATGACGTAGAATAAGTTCATTCAAGACAGGCTTTGACACTGTAAAAAGTTCCCATATATACGTTAATTTATGAGATTGCCAAGATTGGCTACAAGATGGACATATGGATCGGTTTCTTCAAGGTACCACTACGTATAATTTACTGGCTAGCTCAACTAGAGGAACGGATTGCTGATATGCAATGCACGTTTATCAGCAAATAATGCATAATAATATATCACTCTCTAGGACGCCATGGATTGATTGGACAAACAACAATGCTAATTACAGTATAATCAGAACTATAAAATCTCCCACTCAGATTCAGGATGATCATTAGCAGACAACATTTTTGTGTTTGAATTCATGGCAAGAACAGGCATCACCTTGTCCTCGGACTCTACTTTGATTTGTTGATCTCCATATAGTGCTCCAAGTTGTTCATACTCTTTCCTTGTCAACCTCTTTTTCGTGGAGAAAGCATCCCGAAGCTTCTTCTGAGAAAATATTGACAGAAACAGTCAACAAAGATCTAAAAGATGCATTTAAGCAAAGAACCCGCTCTGCTCCTCCTAAAAAGCAAACTGAAGGAACAAATACAGGAAAGAAATATATAAGAGAGAGGAAGATAGAGGATCAACCTTATAGGACTTCTGTTTGACAGGACCCTGTGGAACATGAATCCTGTCCTCTTCAACCAGCACACATGTTTCATTCAACTGGAATTCATCAAATTTCTCAACAATTTCCAAATCTGACTCAATGCTGTCATACTTGGACAACAAATTATCTGATTTTTCTGTAAGAAAGAACAATGGTGTCATAGAGATAGAATTGACAAAATAATAATCCAAAAGACAATGAAGTGAACTGAAAGGCAGGCATGTGGTTAGTTTCACAAGCATCCCTTCGATTCAATTTATCTTAAGTGAATAGGATAGGAGAAGGAATACAACTTAGAGATCTTCTAATTTTTCCTTGACAGAGCGAGTAACCTGGACGTGGAGTACATTTATTTGCTGGGATGGAGGAAGAGTGATGAAGATACTGTAGTTTTCTCTAAATTCCCAGGGGAAAAAAGGTGAAAGTGCAACTGTATAACCTTATATTGACTAATAAACATAAATGATACATAGACATACTGACTCCCAGATCTCTGGCGCACACAAAAGCATCTGACTTCCTGCAGGTTCTCATGAATATGCACTACAGTGGTATAATCAATGTGAGCCTTACTGAGATGAACCAACTTTTGATGGCTGATTTAACTCTTACAGTTGTGCCAATTTAGTACAATTAGACATTTCATCCACTGTATATTTTCTGCTATAATAACATAATTTTGGGTAATTAATTATAACATCTGACGATTTACCACATGGTATATAGCTTTCCGAGAAGTTACACACATCAGTCAGTCTTGAATCAGTATTACACAGCAAAATGGGAACAGAAAGAGAAGAGAGATCTTTCTCCAGTTTTAGCTATTCGAGTAGCTAGAATCAGTCAGTACCTTCATGGGACTCATCGATCTCCTCGTTAGCTAAATTGTTCCGAACATCACTGCTAGTTTTGAATCTTGTATTACAAGCTAACTCTTTTGTACAAGTATCTGTTGCCAATATAGAAGTTTTCACAGAGAACAAATAAGAGAAGAGAACTGCAGACAGTATACCACAAGAATCCAGTGAAAAAGCCACCAACTGAGATAGAGCTGGAACCTGTTTGCTTCTTCCCAACAGATTCAACTGACATCATGACAGAAGCCTCAGAAGTAATTGAAGTATCAGCTGTAGACACATTAGTTTGTATGACGTGATTGGAAACTTTACTTGCTACTTCTCCAGAATCAGATCCTTTAACTGAGGCCAGGGCTGAAGTCAGCGTCACATGATCAGATGCCAATTCAAAACCACCCCTAACCTCAGCACTTGAAGATAATTTTAGCGCATCCCCTGACGCAAGACATATAGCATTAGGCTTCTTAGTTAGGTGGCTATCTCTAACAATTTCTTTGATTCCGACATTTTGACGTTTATAGACTCCTCCACTTTTGCTTTTACCTGAGATCTCAGGAAAAAAAATAATATTAACAGATCTGTCTGACCAAAGAGATTAAATAGTAGTTGGTGATTAATCAGCAGTTTGTACCCTTGATCACTTGAGTGTCATCATTTAATTTGTTACTAAAACCTCTGGCACTTCCTTTAAGATTTGCTTTCAACTTCTTGTCAATTTCATAGTGAGCATAAGGGTTAAGAGACAAGTCAGCAGCTGCGACTTTCACAGGATCAATATTACATTGAGGATGAACATCTTGCATCACCTCAGAACAGAATCTCTTGACATTTGTACCAACAGTGTTCATCTGATTCTCAACATATTTAACAGTGTCCTGTAAATGGTCAAAATCTCAGTTATGGTGATTATAACCCATTCGATTGAAATTAGTAGGGTGGATAATAGGCAGTACAATTTCAGAACCTTTCAACAGACCCAGAGATGTTATTGATCAAAATTAACAGACAACTGTTAATGATGCATGCTGATATGCAGTCATTTGTTTCAATACCATGATGAGGATGTTTGTCATTTGTCATACTACTACAACTATCATACAGCAAAAGAGAGAAGCCATTTAATGAAAGATACGATTGTAATAGCAGTACTGCTACCCCAGAACAGCACTTCTTTGCCAGTTGAGGTAGAGCTAGAGGTACAAAAGTAAGAGTGTTTTTTGATGGTATGGTCCATCAGATGTCTGCATTTGTTCCCATCACCCTTGAGTAAGTTCCAACGTGTAACATTTCCAAACTGTTACAGAGAGTGTAACTACATAGAGGAAGGTAACGTCAATGAAGGTATCAATCAGTCTTTTTACACTCTTCCTCCAATCAAACTCCACATCTATCAGTGAAAAGGTGCAACAAACCAAGTCACAGATTACCCATTGTGTATCCCGGAGAAAAAGAAGACCCAAGGAACAGCCTAAATAGAAACATGCAGGATGCAATCTCTTTGGGACATACCTAGAGATCTGGGGCTGAACTCCACTGGATGCCGAATAGGATTAGTTGAGTAGTAGGAAGGATTTCAGCTATAAGCAAATTAACTTAAGGAAATACCAGTAACAAATAGCAATAACTAAATAGGGAGTAGGGAAGTATATTCGAAAGAATGAAGTTCACCTGGTACATAGCCTCTTCCATCTCCAAACACATCGTTTCAAATTTTTGGTATATGTTTCCAACCCATGATATAGATTTCAAGTCCATTGCAGAATAGGTACTCAACTTCACAGGGATTCTATCAAGTTAGTATTGCGAGATGTTACAGCTTCCCAACTGTATAAAATTTCAGACAAGTCTTTGCACTGTTAAGATGGATTTTTTATGAACAGCACAGAATTATAAGATTCTCTTGGACTAATTCAGAAACCAAATCCAATCTGTTTCAAAAACAATGAATTTTTTAATAATTCATGACTATTAACGTTAACTCGGAGGCCCTCTTTCTTAACGAGACACCAAATGTCATGTCAGCCAAATTCCATCTGGAAATACTGAGACAGTGGAGTGTTGTAGTTTTAAATGTTTCCACATTAATTAGATATTTTCATTCAAGTTATCAAAAATAAAAATCCCGATAAATTGATTGTATGAACAAATTTCCTCCAAACAAACATAATGGGTAAAGAGGATTGAGCTAAATTTAGATAGCCAAATATTAGATTAAATGGTAAAATAAGATATAATTTGATCTACCTCAAATATCCCAATCAGACACTAGGGACTAATGGGAGGGTTTGTCTTTTATATTTTTCATGCTGAACAAGAGACTAAGCGAACTGTTCATAGTGGAGTAGCAATTTCAGAAACCCTGCTAGGGCTTCATGAAGTTGTGTAACCAAAGCATTTGCAAACTTATGCTCGAATTTCCTCACAACCCTCTAATCTCGTAGTTCTCAGCTTAGTTCAAGGATGCGAGATGGAGAAAAATTTTTAAGAGGAGAGGCCATGGTGCAATGCAGTACTCCTACTTAATATACAAGTCTTCTTGATATCAGAAGCAAACAGAATTTAAGGCACACAAAGAAGCATTTCAACAGAGATATCTAAATTTCAGTGTCAACCTTACTTTCTAATGATTTCATATTAAATGTGTGACAAGGCCTCACCATTTTTCCCTTAAAGACAGATTTTATCAGCTCTTTCTTCCAAGGAAAATCACAACCTTTCTCTCAACTAGTATTTCTCAGCATGCAACACTGGAATTAGGTAAGAATTAGAAACAAGACCAGCCTAAAATTGATTGTGTAGCCACTTAAAATTGGAATACCAATGAGCCAGCCCACCTGAATCGCCAGGCAGAAAAAATCAAACACCCGCGCTCATAGAATCAACTTTGCAATACTCGCAAATTTACATATATCATGCCTTTGAATCACCACACAAGTAGAAACTTTTTTTTAATAAAAATTTCAACTATCAGATAGTTCAAACAGCATAAGCCCCTTCATTCATTATATTCATTTTGTTCATCTGATAACAGAGACATGTTTAGACCATCATATACGGTAGGATGATCAACAAATTAACAGATTGATTGATATTTTTGACATCTAAGGTCGAACATATGCAAATAGGTCTGAAAGGTCTAACCATCTAGTAGCCATTTGATAGCTCACCAGTTAAGAACTCCCTACATTCCGACATTCAAACACTTACGTCCACTTTTTCACAAAACCAACAGCACATCAGACTCCTAAGACAAACAGAGAAGGGAACAGAAGGAACTTCTTATATAATTTACTGCTGCAGCCAATTGCATCCCAGGGGAATTAATCGAGGTGTGTAAACTGGTACCATTACCACACAAAAACAAAATGCATCCAAGAGGTTCCTTATAAGAGTCGCTTTTCAATGCCTTAAGCATATAAAACTCAGAGCTGCTCCAAAGACATCTTTTTACCAAGAAAAGTGCTCTAAAAGACTAAAATAGGCCAAGCTAACAATTTCATGTAATTAGATGAACCTTATTGGCAATCTCATCTCTTGTTTTCTAGATTCCAAAGCCATTTTGGTCATCCAAAGTCAAGAGGGTCTAAGAGCTTCCTTATTAGCTAAACTAGGCTCATACAAAGTTTCCAAGAAAAGCTAAGAACACAATCACACACAAAAGGAAAGAATGCAAGCTACTTCACCCAAACCCAACAATTTCACATAAGCAAAAAATCACAGCAAAGGCCAAAAAGAAACTATTTCTTTCACAGTAACACAAGAAAAAACCATTATTACCTTGATCAAGAAGCACAGCCCTACAAAGAATCAATCTTTACTATCTATACTACATATGTATACAAATAACAACAGAGATACAAAAAAGGTGGAATCTTTATCAACAAAAAGTAAACAAATATAAGAATACTCCTAGAAAGACAAAAAGTGGTTGTGTTAAACAAAGAAAAAATGATTTTTTAAAGCTGAAGTGGAAGAGCTTACCAAAGATTTTCAGCAAAACACAAAAGAATCAAGCTTTATAACATGGATTCTAAAGAAAAAGTAGAAAATATAATTGGGATACAGAGAAATGGAGTGGGTAAGATAGTTTTCTTGAATTGGAAAAATTCTGAAACGTATAAAAGTGTACAGACGTTGTTCACCTAGTTTTCCTCAATGGATTCTTGACACATCTCCATTAAGTTTGTATTAAAGAATTTTATTACTATTAAGTTGTAATACATGTTTTTAAAATTAAAAAATATATTTATTATAGTTAAAAAGTAGAATAATTTTTTAAGTTAAGAATAAAATTAACATATTATAAATAACTTATAATAATTATTGATGTCTTGATATGTGTATCACTTCTAAAATAGACAATTAAATAGGACAGAGAAAGTATTATTTTATGCTGAATAGAAAGAAAGCCGCTCTCTATAAAATATATTTTTATATTCAAAACTCAAATCTATGACTTATTATTACATTATATTAAACCAATGTAATGTTCTTAAAAAAATTATTTAAGTAAATTTGACATATCAAAAACCACATCAAAATCAAAATTCCAATACTTTAAAAGATTAGAAAAAAATGCATTAAATTGTTAATATTGTCAAACCTTTTGAGACACAAGTGGAAGGGAAAAAAATTCCTTTTATATATCTTTATTTTAATATTTTTAAAATATTAATCTTAACAATTAATTATAATTCACTTTTGTGTTTTTTTTCATACTTAATTTAAAAAGAAAAAAATACGTAAATTTAAAAATTATTTCGAAAGATATTTAATTTGATATAAACAAAGTTTATGCTTTTTCTATTTGTGGCTATATCACCCTTATCATCATTATTAGCTAAAGAAATGGTGATAAGTATTTTAAGGATAAGAATACAAGCATCGAAGCAATCATGAAGTTGTGAAGAAAAATAATAATTTTATTTTCCTTGAAAATGATGTCAAACATATTTTCTTATTAAAGTAATTATTCCTTTCCTCAAAAAAAATAATTATTTGAAATTGGTGGGTAAGAATTAGGGTCCGTTTGGATGGGCTTAATAAAAGCAGTTTTAAAAAAGTACTTTTGAAAGTGTTAAAATTTATTTTTAAAATAAGCAGTTATACGTTTGGATAAAAGTGCTGAAGTTGTTATGCCAAACGTGAAAACGGAAAAATGGAAGAAAGAGATGTTAGGGTTATATGGATAATTTGGAGATTGTATAAAAATATTAAGGACAAAAAGATAAAAATGTGGTCAACTTAAAACAGCTTATAAGCTAAAAAAAAAAGCACTCCTACCCCAGTTTTTAACTTTTGGCTTAAAATAAGTTTTTTTAACTTAAAATAAGTTACTTTGAGTATTGTCAAATAATTAAATAAGTGAAAAACCAGCTTTTAAGCCAGTTTGACAAGATTTTAAGCTGAGCCAAACGTCTTAAAAATGGCACTTGAAAATCAACCGAGTAATAAAGAAAATCCACTTGCTCAAAAGTCAACTGGACCCAAAAGAAAATATTATTATAAACAGTTATTTTATACTGTAACATTAAATAAGGAAAACAAATGTCTTGATACTATGAATTTAAATAAATATTACTCATTAATAGGATTGTTGGTGAAACCAAAAATGGGATAATTCTAATAAAATAAAGTTAAATCCGTTCACAAAATAAAAGAAAAACGAGTTCTTTGATCATTGATGAGTGTGGTGGAATGATAAAAAAAGTTTAGTATCTTGTGAAGTGTTGTTATATCGTTTAGGAAAAAAAAAAAATTATATTAGTCGTATATGTTATCTATTGTGTTTTGACTATCTTTTTGTTTTGTTGTGGTTATTCTGTTTATGTTATTATTTGTTACTTATTGTGCTTCGGCTATCATTTATATTTTGTCGTGGTTATTGTTCCTTTTATCGATATGTTTTAGAATGTTTGCCCTATTATTTGTGATGTGTTCATTCTTTTATTTTATCCTTTCAAATTTGTTTTAATGTGTTACTTGCATTGAAGTTCTTTTGAAAACAATTTTTTTTTCTACCTAAATGTGTTATGTGTTACTTAGGTTAAAGGATCTTTCGGATACAAATTTTCTACATAGAATGATATGTATTACTTGCGTTGAGAATTTTCGGAAACAGATTTTCTACCTCCACTAGGTAGGAGTTAGAACTATGTACACTGTTCATTGACTAACAATCAATTGAATTTAGCAGAGAACTTTATCTCCCACCAGATAAAATTTAGCTTTAAAGAAAATGAAAGATTCTTTAGGCAAGTAGGTGAATAGGCAAGACAATAAAGATATGGAGTGAAAACTATAATACACATCATATGTACCAAAGACATTCAACAACAGTATCTAGTGTGAACTATGAACTTCAGTTTTCCAATTGTACTGAGTTTCCAACAAAACATCATCCAGCTGCTTGAAAATCTCCAAAGTCATCATCTGCAACATCTTGTGGACCTTGCTCTTTAGCTGATTCTGATGTATCTGGCTCCTCTTTCGCTGTTGCTGAGTCCTTCGTTTCAGCAGATTGCTCGAGACTCAGTTTAGACGGTGATACTGGGGGAGACCTTGCATCAGCAGCAACAGGTGAAAGTGGTGCGGGAGGAGGTGGTGGTGGCTTGAGTAATATTGTTGAATCCTTTCGGTTGGCCTTTTCTTCCAACGATAGATTATTTAGACCCTGCTCGAAGAACTTGGACCTTATGGTGCCACCAGGTTTCTGTTGCCCGGGAAAGAAAAAAAACGCGGTTATTGGATGATAGAGCAAACATTACTACAGGTCAATATGTTAAGACAGGATTCATGGAGACTAACATTCTTTATCTGAAGTTTCAGGGTTTCCCCCTCTTTCAAACTGTAGTCGACTGATGAGGATTTCTGGTATTGCTGCTCCATCTCCTCTGCGGTTTTCTTCTTGTTCAGGTATCTGTTTAGAGCATATTTTGAATCAGATCAATAAAGGCAAGCAATTGAACATAAAACATAAAGGAGCATCTCAAATGAGTTCAACACCTTCCTATCAATCCTAACATTTGGACCTACGTGAAACCAAACCCTCCCCATCCAATTGACACTCCTTTGCTGGAAAATTACACTGTGTAACTGGGTAACAAAAATGTTCTTTCTACGTATAATAACTATATGTTGAATCCCTTTGGCTTCTTCGTGTCTTTTACTTTTATATTTTGACTACCTTTACAGTGAAAATTCTGCTACGTCACTGTACGGGCCAAAAAGATAATACAAGCATACAGCTATTAAAAAAAGGACACGCAAAATTGAACATGTAAGGTGAGGCAAGAAAGCAAGATACTTCTGATGGTCGTGAAGAGCAGCTTGGAAGTCATAGGCTTCAGGTCTTTCTCGAAATCCAATCCCAATAAAAGCATGTCTGAGGCGTCCACCTGTACAAGTAACACATTGAAGACTTGAAGTAAATAGCAAGAATCAAAAAGTTCAAGAAGAATGTCGGTTTTCAGTATATCCTAACATGAAAAGTTTAGTGATTGACTAAATAGTGTTAGTGCTGTAACCAAGAACATCGAAGCACTTCCAAGTTTAGACAGGATATAATCTTAATTTATTAGAAGGTACAAAAGCAGAGGAAGAGGACCAATTCCAGCCAAAACTACATGAGTCTAACAAAGAAAAACCACAACAAATTTGAGGTTCTATAATGCCCTACGAGACAGGTTATATTACGTAACAGATGCTATGTTTGGAAAACCAGGAGAAGAAACTTCTTATTATTAACCTCAACTGCTCCTAGGTTTGCACTTAAGATATGTCTAACCCCGAGTGAAATTGGTATAACCTGATATGCATATATAAGGTGACACAAAAGAGAAAAATTGTTTGGGACCCATAAAGATACTTGTATCTTTAGTGTGTTAAGCTAATAATGGATACTAACTAGAAGCCTACGTTAAAATAATCTGGAACTTTGTTAGATCTTTTTACATACCCCCTCAGCAAATCTGTCTCACATGCATGTGTGTGCAGACATGAATTATTTCTATACCTACCAAAGGTAGAATTATATGATGGATTTCCTGTTCTACTAGAACAAATTAGATTTCCGATAAACATTAAACAGAAGTAAATGGTGGCGAAGTAGATACCAATGTTCTCTTCAATCCGAAGAACAAAGTATCTGCAAGAGAAGAATATAAACAGTTAGTACTAGAACAGTTAATATTAATTTGAATTTGTAAACCAACACACTACAATAAACAGCTAAAATCTGGTAGAGAAGTCTATGATGCCGTTAGAGTACTTATAACGCAGGAAAACAGCGCCAAAAGGAGGTGAATCATTTTAATTACAAACTAATAAACCTGCTACTATCAATTACAGCCTCCACTGGATGTGGTTCCCCATCTCTGAGAAATGCACGCGCATACAATTCACCTACAACGAATAGAAGGAATAAAGGACATCACAAGTCAACATATGAAAATCTTAATCATCTCATCTTCAGCAATAGCACTTAGTAGGAGAATATTTGCTTTTTTGCCTTCTCTTTTTTCTCTTTGGTAATAAAATGCTTCCTTCTAAAAAAAAATTAGTAGGAGAATCAACTGAAATCTTATGGGGCTATAAAGATTATTAAATCGTTAGCACCTCACAAAAGAATTCTTTCTAGAGTAGCTTTTAATAAGAAAAAGAGAAACTCTATTATAGCCATTTTTTCATTCAATGTACTCAACGGGGTAGAGGAATTCATAGCATTGAACATAGAATAATAAGAGATCCGAAATTTTC